TTCTCTTACTAGGTTTCTCGACCTCTGTTTATGACTACTTTAAATTTTAAGTATTAGCAACTATGTAATTTTTGAACATTAAAAATTACAGAAAAAGGAACAAAGAGGTTCCTAAATTCCTGATTTATTTCATTCCAGCATAAAGGAGAACAATAATCGTGATGCCTCTTCAGGATGTAAAGCCGCATGTTAACTACAGTAGCTCTCCATGCTACAACAGCTTCAGGAACAACTGTACGCCGTACAATGCCTGCCCTGCTTCTGCCCCTGGAGCTAGATCAGCAGGAGCCCATGGATAGGCTGCGTGACCGTCTGGGCATGTACGGCACTGCTTCTCCTGCACCGCCGCAGGCAGGCTGAAGCGCACACACTTAAAACACGCTCCACTGGATATGGCCTGTCCACGCTAATACATTTGCTCCCTGCACGGCAGGCAACATTGTTTCGCGCTGCACAGCAGTACCTCCTGTTTCTCTCTCCAGTGCAGTTCTTTGGTACAGGGAGCTCGATCATTCTGAAATATAAAAGGAGGCTGCATTCACCGCGCGTTATTTACATTGACCTAATCAGCTCCCTGTGAGCTAGCCCTCTGCCACCTTCACGAGGTTGCCTTTCTGTAAAGAACTCTGTCAGCAGTTTGCTCTGGTTCCTCTCAAAGTGGTCTTGCCATTAGAGCAATCCCTGCTAGAAGGCATTAATAACACGTCTGTGATATTTCATTTGGACTCAGTCCATTCCATTTTTCTAATTACTTTAACAGGGTTTCTGCAGTGTGTGGAAGACCTGCTCATTCTATATCAAAACTCTGTTGTAATTACTACCATGTTACTGCTGTTCAAGTGTAACCTTCAGCCCTAATTAAGGTGATACTAATAAGCAGCAGTACACAGCTGTGAAATCTCATCAGAGTGGAACAAAAGTTGGTGATTCTTCTAGTTATGGCATGTCTGAGAATCAGCTACAAGATTCACATCTAACTTGCATCTGCTCTCAGATGAAAGAACAGAGCTTCTTTCGACTCTATTGAAATGGTCCACATCCTTGAACAGGATTCGGCCCTTAATACTTAATGGCCTCTACAGGAGATACATGCCATGCATGCCTCCTCCATGTCCAACATTTTTGCTCTGTGAAGATTAAAAAAAAACCACACACACACACACACAGAAGGTATCGGTTGCTCAGAGGAATGAGTGCCAGAGTCTCTTGATCTAGCAGCAAAGCAGCCCACCTACTGATTTACCTCCTGATGCGTATTCTCCCTAAGAAAGAGTTGAAAAAAGACTGTAGGTGGGTATAAGATCTGTTTCTCTCACTGTTACAGAAAGTGTGGAAGAGGCCATGGTCCCCAGTCAGCCCCCTTTCAAGCAGAAGGAGGACCCACCAATCACGTCTTGGGGGCAAATGAATGTTGAGAGCCCAAATACGCCAGGTCAACCTGTGTCATCAGGGAGCAATTACTTCTTTGATCTCAGAAGGCAAGTTGTTCAGCAGCATGAGTTGCACCATTGCCAAGTGCTACAGCATCATGCTACCTGACAGTTTAAATATTTGAGAACAGGTCTGGCAGTGGGGGAGGCACATCTAGCATCTCTATTCCAGCTTCTAAGAAAGCTTTCCTCTGATTTTCCTCTGCATCTACCAGCTTGCAGTGGTGCTGGGATTGTGGCTTATTTTACTGTGGAGGACAGCCACACGGGATCCAGCTCTTACAAACTTGCAGGGCAACCACATACCGAGAATAAAAGTACCTGGTGCAAGTACTACCATGAACACAGCTATAGCTCTAACATCACTGCAGAGCGCTCCAGCAGCAGTGGGAAAAGGCAGGAATGAACATCAGCCTCTTCCCTTGCTAAAAGGCCCTACTGGAAGCAATTCCTCTCCACCTCTTTATACTCTCCACCCACTTTTAGTGGCCAAATCTTGAGCTAGTGCCATCTGTCTTGGAATCAATCAGTAACACTGATTTACACTGACTGACAAACCCTTCTGTAGTTTTCAGACTGGACTCCCTATGGCCTGGGTGTTCTCTCACTGATCCGCAGATAGGACACTGGGGCATTTTCAACTTGGCCATGAGATGGGACCATAAGGGCATACCGAAATGACCACCTAAGGGGTCCTTTAGCCAGCTCCACCTTGCAGTACAATTTAGACACTTTCAAAGTACCGTCTGCTGAGGAAGCAGGCATGGGGATTTTTCAAGATAGCTTTGACTGATGCCATATAGATGTTTTTAAAATGCACCTGACAGTTGGATTTCAGGTTCTCAAAATGTTCCCAAGACAGGATTTTTGGCGTATTTCCTAAAATGGCCCCTTTCAGATAACTGTGCCTAAACCGAGATGGCTATAAATAAAGCCAAGCTTTACCAGGAGACATGCATGCTGTAGGTCTCTACCTTTAGACACATTAATATCATCCTTAGTTCCTTTGCTGTGCAGCCTAAAGATGTTCATCGTAATCCCTGTTCCCTTAGGATATTGCAAACTTTCACTATATGACTTTTTGAGGGAGGCAAATAGAAGAACTTGCCCCAAAACATTGAGAACTAGCTATGAACATGTGTGTGAACCCCAACTTAGAAATGGATTTTCACCTAGCTGCAAGCACTATCCTCTTCTTATTAGTACACTTGTTTCATGGATGCTCAATGGCTTCTTTGTGCTAGCTCTGTACTGCCTGCTGTCCCACCTTCACGTTCTTTCACTACTAAAGAGGCTCTACTACCATCTTCAAAACAAGGAGAGGCTATGTGTACTCAGCACCCATCAGGTGTACTCAGCACCTTCTTTAAGGAAAGCAAATTTTAAGATATTGAATCAAATATACTAGCTTTTGCATTTAATTTGGAAACCTATAGAACGTGCACATTACAAATAATTTCACTCAGAACCACGCTGTATTTTAAAGCACAGAGACCACAGAAAATGCAATTCAAATCAGAACACGTGGGAGGATTTTCAGGACTCTGCTTCAACCAGAAATCTAATTGAAGTGCTGGTAGTCTGAGACCTTAAGTACCTAGTATCAGCAAGGAGGTGAATTTTATGGCTGTTTTACAACCTGAAAATAAGCGTTTATGTGAAAACTCTTGAGAGGTCCTTAATGAAAATGTTGCTACCAGGCACTGCTATAATAATACTAATGTTTCTGTGTTCTTAGTTTTGACCTCCCCTCCTTGTTAGATTAAAGGCACCAAGGGAGAAGGTTTGCTACAGTACAGAAATTTTGGATGACAACTCTCAAAAATAATGGAGTTGTTATTATTTTATAATAATGCCTCCGGTCCCTCCAATTTCAGAAAAATAAAAGTCTTCTGTATTTCTACCTTTCATCTAGGATCTCGTACACCTCAAGAGTTTGATTGCAGCGAGGGAAGAAGGAGTGCTGGAGTGCCCCCAGCCTCTTGAACAGCTCGCTTATGGGCAAGTGGCAATCAGTGAACTGTTCAGGGGAAGGAAGAGGCCTCTCCAACTTGTGCCCTGTAAAGGGTAACAGCCTGGCAAAGGTACCAGCCCGGCAAAGGTACCAGCCCTAGAACAATCACGCAGGTGGCTGGGGGAACAAATATGAGGGGAGAACTTAAGTCAAAAGAAGAGGGAATCATTGTGTCTGGCAGGGTACCACAGGGCGGGAAGGGCATGAGGAACATCACTTGGGGAGTTTCATCACCGATCGAGTCACTTAATTCCCTGCCACACAATTCCCCGATTGTCACCAAACTTTACACCACCTGTTCTACAGACTGGGAGCATTGCTGCTTTTCTCCCCTTTTCTCTCCCCTTTCTCCCCTTTTTATATTCTAACTCTTAATACGTACAGGAGGGCTGAAAGACAGCACGCAATGCCAGGCCAGCCAGAGCACGCTCTGGAAGGCCCTGCAGCTCTCGGGTCTGATCACCACTGTGCTAAACACCTGTACACAGATTAGTCAGAGGATACAGCACAGAGCCTGACTGAACAGTCAGTGTCTCATGGAGTCCAGATTCATACTGGCTAAGTGGGATCAGCCCTTGACCTGCGCGGGGCACTGTTCAAACTCAAAATGCTTTCTGCTCCCTCTTCACCTCCTTTCTGGAGGCACGGAGCCATGATGATGCCCACAAGGAAAGCCACAACGGACCATCATTAAGACAGAATACAAACAAATAATTAAACTAAAACCTGAGCAGTCACTTTATTCTGCCAACAGGAGGTCAAATCTCTGAGGCAACAAAGAAGCATTACCTGTAGCCCTGAAGCTGTTGTCAGACCTTCTTAATAGCAGCAGCCAGAGGTGCATGGGTAACTATGCCAATGTTATGTATTGCCACAGTCAAGCCTTCACAGCTGAGCTCCCCAGGCTCTCACATCTGGTTATACAAGTGCTCTTAAACTCCCCTGTGGCTAAAGAGACTCCAGAGGCTGCCTCCTGGCCTTACTCCTTGCATACCCAGAATACCTTCTGGCCCCCCCTTCTCAGAAATGGAGCTTCACTTTCCATGGGTCCCACAGACAGTGTCTCCCCACCCCATCCTCTCCAGAGCGGAAGCATCACGCAGTGGCTGTTCTCCATAGGCAAGAGGTAACTGAAACAGATTAAGTGCTCTGCTGAGACACGCTGATCCAAGAGCTGCCTGTACCTACATGACATTCTACCTCTTTTTCTCCATCTCCCCTCTTTAGGGTTTGGCACGTTACCTTTCCAGCACTCACTCTAGCATACTTTTCTTAATCTGGTCAGCAAGAAAGCGTTACTAACAGCAAAGGTTGGCTTTCTATAATTCCCAGCCCCACCTGTCAGTTGATTTTCCTGGTTGTCTTCAAACCACCATCAGGTGGTTAAAGCCCCACAATCATATGATGGTACTTGGTTACAAGCCCAGGTTTTGCCCGGGCAAAAGTATGTTTATTTCTCTGTTCAGCAGCACTTCATTGAGATGGAGAGTAATTAAACAGTCAGATCCAAAAACATATTTCAACATCCAAACCAGGAAGGACACAAAGATACTCACGGCCAAGACCGTAAGCCGAACACGACTCCCAGCAGTCAGAGACGGTCAGTCTAGCAGGCCCTTCGGCAACACGCGATGTCCTACGGGCAAAGTCTGCCCGCCGCAACCTGCGGCCACTTCCCCAACGTGGCGACGATCTCCAGCCTCCTCTGCGACTCTGCTGTGGCCGAGAGGAGCGTTGCACCTGGTGCGTCCGCCCAGGCAACACCCAGCGGTGCCCACCGGCCCCATTTTACCCACCAGAGTCACTCCTAAGGGCAACAGGACTGATTTTCCAACGCAGGTCATTCGCAGTCCCTGCTCTCTCACACCCCGTTGCTCATTCTGTCTCTTTGGGAGGAGAAAAGATGGAGCTAAGAAGGGGGTGGTTTGTTCTCATTTTTTATGAGTCGGAAGCGGAGCCTGCTGGCCATGCGAGCGGAATATAGAGTGCTGAATATTAATAGGTGACTCAGCTTTTGCCAAAGCCTGAAGAGCAAGTGAGTCATGACCTAGAAAGAACAATTAGGAG